TTTGTTTTGTTCACTGATATATCTTTAGAACATAGCAAGAAACTGACACATAGGCATTGCTCAAGAAGTGTGTTGATAAATCGGGCGTGGTGGTGTTCACCTGTAATCCCAGCGGCTGAGGAAACTAAGGCAGGAGAATTGCAATTCAAAGCTTGCCTCAGCAATTTAGCAAGGATCTAAGTAACTTAGAAAGACCCTGTCTCAAAAAAAAAGTGGGGGAAGCTGAAGATATGTCTCAGGGGTAAAGCACCCCTAGTTTAAGTCCCTGGTAACAAAACAAAACAAAACAAAACAAAAATGTTGATGAATGAATGTCTCTTCCTGCTATAAGACTCCAGGGAGTTCCCATATGGTTTACAATAATCCCTTATCCATGGTTTCACTTTCCACAGTTTCAGTTACTCACAGTCAACTGTGATCTGAAAATATTAATGGAAATTTCCATAAATAAGCAATTCATGAGTTTTAAATTGTCATTCTGAGTCAGAATGAAATCTTGAGACATCCTAGTCATCCATCCCAGAATGTGAATTAACCTTTTGTCCATTATATCCATGCCATATGTGCTACTTGCCCCATGGAGGGAGGGGGAGAGAGAGAGAGACATATAGACAGAGGACACATTTACCTTTTAGTATAGTATATTTTAATTATTGTCCTATTTTATTTTAATTTTGTTAATCTCTTACTGTGCATACTTCATAATTATACTTTATCATAGGTATGTATAGGAGAAAACATGCTGTAGATAGGTTTTGGAATTATCCTTGGTTTCGGGCATCCATTGGCAGTCTGTCCATGTGGGAAGACCTTTCTTACAGCCTCAAATCTGCACATTTTAAGAAAGAAACACAGGGGCTGGGGTTATGGCTCAACGGTACAGTGCTCGCCTTGCACATGCAAGGTCCTGGGTTCGATCCTCAGCACCATATAAAAATAAATAAATAAACAAACAAATAAAATAAAGTTAAAAAAGAGAAAGAAACACAGCCTTTAGCATTCTAAAAAACTTTAGAAAACAACTTGTCCTCCCCACATCTCCTTTAGTCCTCACATTTTAGCCTTCACCCGTGGCTTCTACCACTTTGTAATAGGATAGAGACTTCATTGCTATAACAGCAACCTATAAAAAGTAGGTGTTTCTATCCCATGTGAAAGCCAGACCCTCACTCTGCTATGAATTTGCCAGAATCCCAGGCTATGGGTCATGCTATCCCTAGCATATTGCCATCATCTGCATGGTCCAAAATGGCTAATCACGTTAGTCATTTATTTTTTAATTAATTAATTTATGTATTTATTTATTCTAATTTGTTATATAGGACAGTAGAATGCATTTCAATTCATAGTACACACATAGAGAACAATTTTTCATGTCATGGTTTCATGTCTACTTTGTGTACAACAAAGTAGAATCACACTATTTGTGTCTTCATACGTGTACTTAGGGTAATGATGTCCATCTCATTCCACCATCTTTCCTACCTTTCTGCCCCTCCCTTCCCCTTCCCTCCCCTTTGGCCTCTCATGCCCCCCACCACCCCATCCCCATTATGGATCAGCATCCTCATATCAGAGAAAACATCTGGCATTTGGTTTTTTGGGACTGGCTTACTTCACTTGGCATAATATTCCTCAACTCCATCCATTTACCTGCAAAGGCCATGATTTTATTCTCTTTTAATGCTGAGTACTATTCCATTGTGGCCCTTTTCCTTTAAGGTTAATAGGTACATCCTACCCTTCAGAACACAGTCATAGCCACACCCAGAATCACAAGAGATAAATGTTTTATTCTGTGCAGCCATGTATCCAGGTGAAAATTAGGGGTTCCATTAACACAAAAGGGGAGAACAAATATTGAGGGGGTGGGACAAGTAGTTGTCTCCACCCAACAAAACCCTAACATCTTTCAAATCTCTCCCCTCTGTTTTATCCTGCTTCCTGCCTCAGTCTCTGAGATTCTGTGTTTAGTTGGGTTCCTATTAGAGTAGCCAGATCTCTACCCTAATAAAAATTATAGAAACCACAGGAGAGGGCTAAGATGGGGGGGACTAAAGGAGATGTGAGGATTTATTAATCTTCCAGTTCATTTCCTGGCACCAACTCCCTCTTCCAATTCATCCTTCAATTGCAAGTTGAATGAGACTCTCAAGATCAGAACCAAGCACATTACCTTTCTGTCCTACTGTGCCTCAACTCCAAAGTGTCTGCAGGTTCTCTTTTACTGTCTCTTCCCATTGCATAGGTAGAAATTCTCTTCTTTGCCTTCACAGGGTTGTGTGTCTTATCTCTGTTGTATTCTTTCAGCATAGTAAATCTCTGGCCCATAGTAGGTATTCAAAATGTATTTATTGACTGACTTCCCTTGTCCAGATCATTCATGTCTCTTTCTGAATGTCCCTGTACCTGCTGGGTTCCCCCTTAAAGACTCAAATCCACCCAGGAAGGGTTGACCATCCTCAGATGAGAAACCCCAGTCAGAGGACCTTCCTTTTAATCCCTTAGAATGTGAGTGCTCTCCTCTGATCACATGACCAATTGAGCCCTGTTCATCATTCTTCAGAGGGAGTCCCGGAACCACAGGAGACCTGGTCTTAGTTGCATGGAACATATTATATTTTAAACGGGTTCACAGCTTATCTGGGCATCCATTGGCAATCTTGGAACATAATCTCCTACAAATAAGGGAGAACCCTAAACTAATGGCAGATTGCAAAGATATCAGTAAAAGATTTAAGCAAGTAACTAAAATATTGACTAATAATAGAGGCTTAACAAATAGGTTTATTAGGTTATACCTTATGACTTAGTAGTTTATTAAGTTATTAAGTAGTTACTAAGTAGTTTACTAAATTACTGAGTAGTTACTAACTAGTTTACAAAGTACTAAGATAAAACCTAATAAATGAAGTATTTGGCTTTTAATCAAAGTATTAAGAGATAATTAAGGTATTAGTAGATAATCAAATATTAACTACTCAAGTGTTAGCTGATAGCCAAGGGATTAATTTAAAACCAAGATGTTAGCAGATACTAGTTAACCAATGACTAAGGTGATAGTTGATAAGAACTCAGAGTGACAATTTTTAGGCAATCCTAGCATGTGTTAGGAGGGATATGCAAGTAGCAGAAAGCTGGAAAAGTCTATAGGAATGATTGGAAATAAGAATCCTCTGTTGGACTCTAAGTTTCTAGGGAAGTGGTTTGCTTATCACTGATTTCCAGATAGGCTCCAGTCAGAGACAGGTATGGTGCTGGTGCTCAAAATGCTTACCATATAATTCAGTTTACTCTGCTAGGGCCAGGTACTGTGCAGAGGGAGGGAAAGGAGGGTACTTGCTTCAACAGTGAAATCAGAGAGTGGCAATTAAATGAGTGAGTAAATGAGAAAGTCAGAAATTGAATAATGTATGAAAGCAAAGTTTAGGGATGCAAAGGCTGGGTGGAAGGGGAGGCAGGTGTGTCAGGCCAAGGCAATGAGTTTAGATCTTCACTGTTGAATCGAGGTGTCTTTATAGATGCCCAGTAGGCAGGTGGATATGGGTTCAGCTTAGTATAACAGCTGTGTGTTATCCAGGCATAGATGGTGATCAAAAGCATGAGGAAAAAAATGAGGTGACTGCAGCAGAACACATTGAGTAAGAAAAGAGGCTCTAGGCCTCAAGAAAAACCAACAGAGAAGGGGTGAGTAGAGAAGGAAGAGACGTCAATGCACACCAAGAACGGAAAACTCAGAGACATAAGGGGAAATTAAGAGAAGACAGTGGCAGGAAAGCTTAGAGAAAAGAATGTGTCAAAGAGAAGAGCTTTGTCAGCAATGTCCCATGTGGCTGAGAATTTAGGTAGAATATCAGAGAGATGTTCATTGGATTCACAATTGGGAGCTAAGAGATGGCTTTGGTGAAGGGAGCGAAAGAAGGCAAAATATAGATGCCGGAGAGAGTGGGTATAGATGGAGGAAGATAGCTCAGGGGTATGTGGTTCTGAGATGCCCATCACAAAAACTTCTGTGATAGTTGGGTTTCATTGTGTGTGTGCACATGAGCATGTGCAGAACTGGAGCTTGGAGCAGAGTTTATGAGGGCAGGCTGGAGGCCACCATAGCAAGGCTTGTGTTCAACCCACAGGGAGCCTTCAATCTACTCTGGGAAGATTTTTTTTTTTTTTTAAAGAAAGAGAGAGAGAGAGAGAGAGAATTTTTTAATATTTATTTTTTAGTTTTCAGTGGACACAACATCTTTATTTTATTTTTATTTTTACGTGGTGCTGAGTACCCAGTGCCCTGTGTATGCCAGGCGAGCGCGCTACCACTTGAGCCACATCCCCAGCCCTCTGGGAAGCTCTTGAGAAGGACCATTAAGGGAGACTGTGAGAACTGTCCATGCAGTTTGATCCTTTGGTTGTCCAGTGGGAAAATGAAGCACAGTAGAGATGAAACAATTTGCTGTCTGTGAGTCAGGGGCATCACTTAGACTTGAATCTGAATCTCTAGACTTTGAGAAGGCTGCTTGGAAGGTGAATTATGGACCAGTCACTTTGCCCTTCACCACAGTATTTAGCTGCCACTTTACATTTATGTAAAAGTAAAGTATATATTTTATGCACAAAATGCAGACATTAAAGAAATATTTAAAGAAAATGACCTTATTATCTCACCCCACCTCCCTCATAGGCAACCACCATTCATTCAGTTTAGTCTATATTCTTCCCTCTCACTTAACACTTAATAAAAATATTATACTTATTTATATTGTCTTTGTATATGTTTGTGCATGTGTTCATTCTGTTTTACAACTTGCCTTTTTTTCACTTTTGGACAACTTTCTATGGTGGCTTATACAGATCTAACCCATTCATTTTTTTTTCTTTTTCTTTTCCTTTTTTTTTTGGTACCAGGGATTGAATTCAGGGGCACTTGACCACTGAGCCACATCCCCAGCCCTATTTTGTATTTTATTTAGAGACAAGATCTCACTGGGTTGCTTAGCAAGTCTTGCTTTTTTCTGTTTTTTTTTTTTAATATATATTAAATTACTTGTAGTTGAACACAGTACTCTTATTTTATTTATTTTTATGTGGTGCTGAGGATTGAACCCAGTGCCTCGCACGCATGTGCAAGGTGAGTGCTCTACCGCTGAGCCACAATCCCAGCCCCAGCGCCTTGCTTTTATTGAGGTTGGCTTTGAACTCCTGCCTCAACCACCTGCCCTCCCCACCCCAGCTGCTGAGATTACAAGTGTGAGTCACCGTGCCCACCTCTAGCCCATTCATTTTAACATTTGCATTAGTTTATCATTTAGATTTGTACCATTACCAGACCCATTTTGATAAACATATGGGTTATATCCAAAATTTCACTCTTATGAATGGTATACATACATATTATTGTTTATATGTACATATACACGGTTTCAGAGTCTTTTAGAAGAGGAAATGATAGAGCAAAGGATACAAAGATTTTGTTTTAAGGGCTGGAGATGTGGCTCAAGCAGTAGCACGCTCGCCTGGCGTGCGTGCGGGCCCGGGGTTCGATCCTCAGCACCACATACAAAGATGTTGTGTCTACCGAAAACTAAAAAAAAAAAAAAAAAAAAAAATCTCTCCTAAAAAAAAAAAAAGATTTTGTTTTAAAAGATATTTCCAGTCAGATGCAGTGGTGTACACCTGAAATCCCAGCTAATTGGAAGGAGTAGAAGAATCACAAGTTTGAGGGCAGTGTGGGCAATTTAGTGAAACCCTGATTCCAAATAAAAAATAAAAAAGGCTGGTAGATGTAGCTCAATGATAAAGCACTTCTAGGTTTAATCCTCTGTACCAAGGGGATAAAATAATAGATCATCACCAAAACAACCTTGTTCCATTTTGTCCTATCAACAGTTTATATGAATGCCCATATCCCTACATCCTTACCAAAAATGAGTATTATCATTTCAAAAATCTTTCCAACCTATGAATCTGAATATCTTTTCATGTCCTCATTGGGTATTTGTATTCTTTTGTAAATTACCTATTTATATCCTTTGCTTTTGTTGTTGTTGTAGTATACCTTTGGTCTATAAATTTTGGGGGGGGGGCAATACTGATTAGCTTGATTTTAAAAAAAAAGGTATGGAAGTTTTTGTACCAAATTGCTGACAGTGTTTATTTCCAAGGCGTGAGATTATAGAAAATGAGGGGGGGGGGGACTTTAACTTTTATTTTACATTATCCTTATTTTTGGATTTTTACAAGGTATTTGCTTTCTTTCTTTCTTTTTTATTTTATTTTTTTAGGTTCTGAGGATTGAACCGAGGGCTTCACATGTGATGTCAGGCAAGTGATCTGCCACTAAGCTACATCCCCAGTCCAGGGACTTGCATCTTCTGTAATTAATAATAATAATACACAAAGGAAAACAAAAAAAATAAATGTTTGACCTAGATTTCTATTGGGTGGAAATTTATGTTGGGTATAAGTTTTTATTAACCACAAGTTATTTTTTGGTTTATATGCAAAAAACACACCACATTTATTGAATGCCTCCTATTTGGCTGGCACTGCCCAAGGCACTTTCCCAGGTGTTCCATCCTAATCCTCACAACATCCCTGTGAGGTAGGAACTGGCCCCATTTTCCAGAGTCCTGAAAGGATAGATTATTGCCAGATATGCTTCTACTTGCCACATGTCTTCATTGACTAGTGATTCACTACTAAGAGCTCTTCTTGGCCAGGATTCAAAAAATACTATAATTCAAAAAATACTATGATTCAAAAAATACTATAATTTTCCCCTTATAAGAATGAAAGGGGAGGTGGGATAAGAATGATGGAAAGAGAATCAGTGAGTCTCTCCCTTTGAAGCACCATTTGAGCTTGCTTTGGTCACTTATACACAGATAGGTGGGACAGGGTTGGTGGGAGAAGAGGCAAAGTGGTTATAAATCTTCTCGCTTCTGCAGGATGAGCTTCCTCACCAGTGCCATGATCTGAGGCCTGATCTCCTCCACTGACACAGTTGGGTCCCAAGCCCCTACTACCTTTCCATCTGGGGCCACCAGATACTTCCAGAAGTTCCAGGTGGGCTCCTTCCCAGAAGTTTCTAGAGAAAAAGGAAGAAGGTGAACAAAATGTACTTCTTTGTGTATCCTCTCCTGGAATTCCACTGGCTAGCTGAATAATCAGGGGTCCCTTTGCCTTCCTAACCCTCAACCTCCTGGGTCTGGTTGCATCAGAATCATTGGAAGGTTTGGGGGCACTGCTTCAGTAGGTCTCAGGCTTATGCAATTTTAACATCTCCTTTGGTGCTTCTAAAAGCAAGGTCAGATTTGATCTATGATCATGGAAACTGGGAAAGAACTAACAAAAACACACAGAAGAAAAGCAAACATTGGAATTGACTGGAGAAGCAAAACATAAACCAGCCTTGGTAAAGGACATTTTGTTTGCTTTACTATTGCTGCTTATGTACTCCTACAGGTAAGTAGGTAGTGGGGTTATGGTGAAAGATACAAAGAAACCGGAAATGTGGAATGAAAGAGAGCAAAAATGGAACCCCCAAGGGAAGAAAAAGGCCTGAGGGAAGAAACAGGTTCATAATGACAAGCTTGGTCCACGACCCCATTTTGTGGCTCTGAGGTTTCTAGGGATAGAGAAGGGATATACTCTGAAACATTCACACCTGGTAGTTTATTTAGCTTAGAAGGTTTCCCTTCCATGGTCTACAGACTTTGCCTCTGGCTCAGGGCTGGAAATGCCTGTCAGCCATCTTGGTCAGCCTTCTCCAAGTATGTGGTGTCCCTTGTGTGTGCCTTGGTTTCTCCTCTTCAGTCCATAAACTCAACTAATCCACATGGACTAAAGTGTGAGGGCCAATCTCCTTCTAGGAGCCTATTTATATGAAAATAGAAACCCAGAGAAGTCCTTAGGAGTCACCCTGAGGAAGAACTGCAAGGCACCAGGTATGGAGATATTCTTAGGCAGGAATCCCCCCCAGGTTGGCCCTCCCCCACTTTACTTAATGATTAGTACTGGAATAAAATATCAATCCACCTGAGAGGGTCAGGAAGGGAAAAGGGCCACAGATTACCCAGCTAGCCAGTGGCTTCTGCTGCCCAGGGAGCCATGGCTTCAGCCACCTGAGGGAAGGTGAGGGCAAGAAGGGATAGGACTCACCAGTTAAGTACTTGAAGGCAGGGTGGGCACCAGTGCCAGTGACTGCAATCTTGCTAAACATGGGGAAAGAGACACTATAGGTGTGACGAACAAAGCTCTCAATCTCTCCATTGCTGTCTGGCTCTTGTTGGCCAAACTGGTTGCAGGGAAAGGCAAGCACATTGAAGTGATGGGGACCCAAGTCCCGCTGTAGCTGCTGCAGGGCTCGATAGTGCTGGTCTGTGAAGCCACACTCACTAGCCACATTTACCACTAGGGACACCTGGATGGCAAAAAGAAAACAAAACAAAGCTCATGCATATACACAACTCAGTGAAAGGAATGCACTTAGATTTGCCCCAACATGCTCACATATGAGACTCCCCCAACAATTAATGTCCCCTCATATACACAAGGGGGGTTGGAACTCAGTGGTAGAGTGTGTGTCTAGAATGTGTGCAGCTTTGATTTTGATCCTTAGCACCACAAACAAAAACAAAAACCCCACTATGTACATATGTATCCCATTTTGTTCCCTCCCCTCCAGCAAACACAAACCTTTTTCTTTGATCACTAGACTAATCCCTAATTTTATTAAAAGCTTAGGCAATAAGTATGTACACAGTATACATATTTATGTATATTATCTCACATATACATGTACACAAGCACACACAGGCACATAAGAAACAAGCATTCATGAGTTTACAGATATGTGTACGCACAGATGAACATGTGTGGGTATAAGTACACAATACATATAAATGGGTTCACACATGCCCTACCATAAAAACATATATTAGCAAATAGTGCACATACTCACAAATACAGCACAAAGTCACACACACACTGGTGAGCACAATTGGGAGGTGATGTGGGAGAGTAGAAAGGCACACCTGGGTCCAATTTTTGGCTCAGTCAGCTAGCATTCAACACTCTACACTGTAGTTGCCTGCATGTTTTGGCTTCTCTTCTAGAATGGAAACCTGCTGAGGACAGGAGCTAAGTCCACTTCATCTCTGGGTTAGCGTATGAAAAAGCCTTAGTAAGTGTCTGCCGAATAAGTAAGTGTGCACACACACATAAACGCCTGAATGATACAGAGATAGATATAAGTTTCCTGGATAAAAAGACCACTGGAGGGCTGAGGTTGTGGCTCAGTGGTAGAGGGCTCTCCTAGCACATGAGAGGCACTGGACTGGATCCTCAGCACCACATAAAAATAAATAAATAAATAAATAGATAGATAGATAGATAGATAAATAAAGATATTGTGTCTGTATACAACTTGAAAAAATATTGAAAGCAGTTCTAAGAGGAAAATTCATTGCTTGGAGTTCATTCCTTAAAAAAAGAAAAAACCAACAAATAAATGATCTCATACTTCATCTCAAAATCCTTGAAAAAGAAGAGCAAAACAACAGCAAAAGAAGTAGAAGGCAAGAAATAATTAAAATCAGAGCTGAAATTAATGAAATCGAAACAAAAGAAACAATTGAAAAAATTGACAAAACTAAAAGTTGGTTCTTTGAAAAAATAAACAAAATCGACAGACCCTTAGCGATGCTAGTGAAGAGAAGAAGAGAGAGAACTCAAATTACTAGCATACGGGATGAAAAAGGCAATATCACAACAGACACTTCAGAAATACAGAAGATAATCAAAAACTATTTTGAATCCTTATACTCCAATAAATTAGAAGATAGTGAAGGCATAGATAAATTTCTTAAGTCATATGATCTGCCCAGATTGAGTCAGGAGTATATAGAAAACCTAAACAGACCAATATCAATTGAGGAGATAGAAGAAACCATCAAAAGACTACCAACTAAGAAAAGCCCAGGTCCCGATGGGTATACAGCAGAATTTTACAAAACCTTTAAAGAAGAACTAATACCAATACTTTTCAAGCTACTTCAGGAAATAGAAAAGGAGGGAGAACTTCCAAATTCATTCTATGAGGCCAACATCACCCTGATACCTAAACCAGACAAAGACACTTCAAAGAAAGAAAACTACAGACCAATATCTCTAATGAACCTAGATGCAAAAATCCTCAATAAAATTCTGGCGAATCGGATACAAAAACATATAAAAAAAATTGTACACCATGATCAAGTAGGATTCATCCCTGGGATGCAAGGCTGGTTCAATATACGGAAATCAATAAATGTTATTCACCACATCAATAGACTTAAAAATAAGAACCATATGATCATCTCGATAGATGCGGAAAAAGCATTTGACAAAGTACAGCATCCCTTTATGTTCAAACTCTAGAAAAACTAGGGATAACAGGAACATACCTCAATATTGTAAAAGCAATCTATGCTAAGCCTCAGGCTAGCATTATTCTGAATGGAGAAAAACTGAAGGCATTCCCTCTAAAATCTGGAACAAGACAGGGATGCCCTCTCTCTCCACTTCTCTTCAACATAGTTCTCGAAACACTGGCCAGAGCAATTAGACAGACGAAAGAAATTAAAGGCATAAAAATAGGAAAAGAAGAAATTAAATTATCACTATTTGCAGATGATATGATTCTATATCTAGCAGACCCAAAAGGCTCTACAAAGAAACTATTAGAGCTAATAAATGAATTCAGCAAAGTGGCAGGATTTAAAATCAACACGCATAAATCAAAGGCATTCCTGTATATCAGCGACAAATCCTCTGAAATGGAAATGAGGACAACCACTCCATTCAAAATATCTTCAAAAAAAATAAAATACTTGGGAATCAACCTAACAAAAGAGGTGAAAGACTTATACAATGAAAACTACAGAACCCTAAAGAGAGAAATAGAAGAAGATCTTAGAAGATGGAAAAATATACCCTGTTCATGGATAGGCAGAACTAACATCATCAAAATGGCGATATTACCAAAAGTTCTCTATAGGTTTAATGCAATGCCAATCAAAATCCCAATGGCATTTCTTGTAGAAATAGAGAAAGCAATCATGAAATTCATATGGAAAAATAAAAGACCCAGAATAGCAAAAACAATGCTAAGCAGGAAGTGTGAATCAGGCGGTATAGCGATACCAGACTTCAAACTATACTACAGAGCAATAGTAACAAAAACAGCATGGTACTGGTACCAAAACAGGCGGGTGGACCAATGGTACAGAATAGAGGACACAGAAACCAATCCACAAAACTACAACTATCTTATATTTGATAAAGGGGCTAAAAGCATGCAATGGAGGAAGGATAGCATCTTCAACAAATGGTGCTGGGAAAACTGGAAATCCATATGCAACAAAATGAAACTGAATCCCTTTCTCTCGCCATGCACAAAAGTGAATTCAAAATGGATCAAGGAACTTGATATCAAATCAGAGACGCGCCGTCTGATAGAAGAAAAAGTTGGCTACGATCTACAGTCGGTGGGGTCGGGCTCCAAATTCCTCAATAGGACACCCATAGCACAAAAGTTAATAACTAGAATCAACAAATGGGACTTACTCAAACTAAGAAGTTTTTTCTCAGCAAAAGAAACAATAAGAGAGGTAAATAGGGAGCCTACATCCTGGGAACAAATCTTTACTCCTCACACTTCAGATAGAGCCCTAATATCCAGAGTATACAAAGAACTCAAAAAATTAGACAATAAGAGAACAAACAACCCAATCAACAAATGGGCCAAGGACCTGAACAGACACTTCACAGAGGAGGACATACAGTCAATCAACAAGTACATGAAAAAATGCTCAACATCTCTAGCTGTCAGAGAAATGCAAATCAAAACCACCCTAAGATACCATCTCACTCCAGTAAGATTGGCAGCCATTAGGAAGTCAAACAACAACAAGTGCTGGCGAGGATGTGGGGAAAAGGGTACACTTGTACATTGCTGGTGGGACTGCAGATTGGTGCAGCCAATTTGGAAAGCAGTATGGAGATTTCTTGGAAAGCTGGGAATGGAGCCACCATTTGACCCAGCTATTCCCCTTCTTGGTCTATTCCCTAAAGACCTAAAAAGAGCATGCTACAGGGACACTGCTACATCGATGTTCATAGCAGCACAGTTCACAATAGCAAGACTGTGGAACCAACCTAGATGCCCTTCAATAGACGAATGGATAAAAAAAATGTGGCATTTATACACAATGGAGTTTTACTCTGCATTAAAAAATGACAAAATCATAGAATTTACAGGGAAATGGATGGCATTAGAGCAGATTATGCTAAGTGAAGCTAGCCAATCCCTAAAAAACAAATGCCAAATGTCTTCTTTGATATAAGGAAAGTAACTAAGAACAGAGTAGGGACGAAGAACAGGAGAAGAAGATTAACATTTAACAGGGATGAGAGGTGGGAGGGAAAGGGAGAGAGAAGGTAAATTGCACGGTAATGGAAGGAGACCCTCAGGGTTATACAGTGGAGGGGGTAGAGAGAGAGGAGGGGAGGGGAGGGGAGAGGTGGGGAGGGGGGAGGGTGGATGATGGGAAAGGCAGCGGAGCACAGCAGACACTAGTATGGCAATTTGTAAATCAATGGATGTGTAACTGATGTGAATCTGCAATCTGTGTATGGGGTGAAGGTGGGAGTTCATAACCCACTAGAATCAAAGTGTGGAATATGATATGTCAAGAAATTTGTAATGTTTTGAACAACCCACAATAAAAAATTAAAAAAAAAAAAAAAAAAAAAAAAAGACCCCTGGAGGGCTGGGGTTGTAGCTCAAGTGGTACAGCATTTGCCTCCCATGTGTGAGGCACTGGGTTCGATTCTCAGTACTACATATAAATAAATAAATGAATAAAAGGCCCATGGACAACTTAAAAAAAAAAAGAACCCTGGATCCCAGGGCAATCCCATTTTTATCCCCTCCCCTCCAGGGAACAAATACATCTTTCTTTGATCACTAAATGTGTCAGTCAGCTTTTTCACTGCTGTGACCTAACAAGAACAATTTTAGAGGAGAAAAAGTGTATTTGGAGTTCACAGTTTCAGAGGTCTCTGTCCATAGATAACTAGCTCTGTTGCTCCAGACTGGAGGTGAGGCAGAACTTCATGGTGGAAGGGTGTAGCAGAGGAAAGCAGCTCTGGAGATGGCACCAGGAAGCAAAGAGACTATTCCACTCACCAGAGACAAAATATATCCCCCAAGGTCATGTTCCCAGTAATTTATCTCTTTCAGCCACACCCTACCTGCCTACAGTCACCACCCTGTTAATCCATTCAAGTGAATCAATGCACTGATTAGGTTAAGGCTCTCCTAACTCAATTTCACCTCTAAACTTCTTGCATTGTCTCACATTTAAGCTTTTGGGGGAC